AAGGTTTCTCTTAATATGGATTTCTAAAAATTATGTCATAAAATAACTCATTTGTATACTCGGTGACAATGGTCACGAGAGAAATTGACACAACTGTAGGTCTTGTATGTTTTATTATTTGCTGTGTAGGAATTTACATTTATTAAGGCAAGGAGAATCACATTTTGCTATAAGGGGAAAGATAATTTGCAAGGTGCTTCATGTGATCTTTCCCCCTTGACGTTCAGATTTATTCTATATCAAGAAATGAAGCTACTGAAGTTCCAGGAGCCTACAACTGCCCCCTTATCTATGGGGGAATACATTCTTCCAAGACCCCCACTGGATGCCTAAAACTGCAATAGTACCAAACCCTACATATACTAGGCATGAATTTCTTTTTTTTCCTTACCATTCATGGATAGGCTGATCTGAGTGCAGTGGTGTTCACAGCTAATTGGCCACAATTCATGGGTAGAAGATCATTCTTACTGTAGATCTTAGCAATGTCAGCATATAATTTTTTTTCTTTCCTTATTAAGTTGATAACTTTCACCTTTTCACTTAAAGGGAGCATTTTATGGCTTCTTTTTGGCACATGCAAATTGCCAGCATCATTACTCTCATGCTTTGAGGCCATTATATAACAAAATAAGGGTTACTTCAACACAGGTACTGGGAAACGGTGGTAGCAGTCTATGTGATAACTGAGATAGCTACTGTGTGACTGATGGGAAGGTAGCTTAGACAGTGTGGATATGCTGGACAAAAAGAAGATTTACCTCCCAGGTGGGACAGAGCAGGTGGGATAGATGGCGAGAGATTTCAGCATGCAATTTAAAACTTATGAATTACTTCTGAAATTTTCCATTTAAATTTTGGGGGCCACAACTGACTGCAGGCAAGTGAAACCACAGAAAACAAAACCTTAGATAAGGAGGAGCTAATGTATTTAATTTTAACATTGTATCAATGACCAACGGTGCAACATAAAATGTCTTTATTTTCTGATATTTGTATTGCTTTCTGGTAATTAAAGGTCCTTTCAACATTTTGGAAGAATGAGTCGCATTTTGCACATGGTAGTAGACACTTAACAGATGTTTGATGAAACTTTGGTAGGTAAGCGGGTAGATACACACTGACATTTAACCAGGTGCCTTAATTCAGCTTTAAGTGCCAATGTTTATTAACGGTGATGCATAAATACAACAGCACACGTTCTGATACGGGCTCTCCCACCGAAAATTTCCCCCTACTTCCAAAATGTAAACCCGGACGGTTTAAGTTTCCATATGAAGACTGAAATGATAACAACATAATAGTGAAGTTGTCTTGGAGGAATTGTTGGAGGACGCGACTGGTACCTTCATGGAGAATGGGGAAGCCTTCGCGTGTGGCTGACACAAATGGTTGTCACACGCCATCTAGTGGCCATCTGTGAAACTGTGCTTATGCCGTGGGAAAGGCTTTTGGAACAAGCTTGATCGCTTAGTGCCTATCGGGCAGCCAGTGAACATTTGTCCGTCTTTAAGGCACTAAACGGAGAGGAACCACTGAGGAAAGCATGCCACAGTCTTTTGCAAAATTCCTGTGTCTTAAGGAACAACCAAGAAGTAACTGGTCAGGGAAAACATTTCTTTTGGGAAGCAGGTAAGTAACCAAGACGCCGTGGGAGACATCCTTGCCTGCAACAGTTGTGGCATAAAGCAAGGTAAGTAGCACGATATTCACTGCTTTTTGTCCCGCAGAAACCATCGCTGTGTGTAGAAATCCATGACCTGGCCGTGACTTCTACAACCCCAAGGACTTGCCTGGCATTACTGAAATGCCCAAAGATTCTGTGGCAGGTGCCGCATTTTATCCAGCTCACTCTGCTAGCTCCTAAGACATCTTAATTCTTACGCATATAAATAATCGTGATATTTTGCCATGAATTAAAATATCATATTTCACAATTATCAACCGTTTTGATTTTTAGCTTTCTAACCTGGGGCTACTATAATAAAAAGAATTAATGCATCCAACAGTAGTAGTGGAAAAAATAAATATCTCCAAGTTTATTCTTGTAAGTTTAATTAGTTCTTAATAGAATGAGAACTCAAGAGTTTTTTTGGATTAAGTATCTTCCAGACAATTCAAAGCGAGATAAGAAGTCACTTGGTTGTAAATTTCACAAAAATCATTAAATACATAATGTGGGACTACGCAGAACAGCAGGAAGAACATTCAGTATTTGAGAGTAAACAACTCAAATTAAGATAAATTGTTTAGGAATCTCACAGACAGGAACATTTTTCCTTTCTGGTTTTCCATGGTAGCATGTATACAGTACTTGAAAAATGTTGCTTTCAAGTCATGTTAACTGCTTATTAAGAACATCAAATAAGAAATGATATTGCTTATTAGTTCCAAAATAGAAAATCCTATAAGATCATTTCCTCTTCGTCTTAAGGTTAATTTCCATTATAAATATATGCATTCAGTATAAAATGCTCAACCTCAAAAGATATCAGTTTTTGCCTTTTGAACTATAATCCTGACTCCTAAATTGTGATAGAGCTTCAGCTACCTCTCAAACATTTATTTTCCACTCTCTTCATCAAAGAGTGATTTATTTTAAGAGAAGCATTTGTCAATTTAAGGTTTCTGAAGCGTTCATTTTTATAAAAGGCTATGAACAAGTAGCAAGATGAAGAATTTGGTTTTCTGTGGGTTAAGTGACAAATCAAACAATCCTAAAATTTTTCATCATTTTGATGCACTATTCTCAAATTTTAAAAACCCATTGTCTGAAAGCAAGACGGGTTTTTTTAATGCGCATATGTAAAAATAAACCAGATTTACAGACTTGGGCCTCTGTCGTTGCCTATAGTTGATGTCTACACAAAAAGAATATTCCAAATCTTTCTGCTTTCCTTAATCTCAAATGTTCAAAATGACTACGTTTTCTAGAATATTTACCTATTAGCTATCGTTATAGTTAAAAAGGAAATCAGACTAATTTGGGCAGCATTGTGCCTTACTACAAATTCTGTTTGTACTTTGTGAGTGGGGAAAAATAAAATTTGCAAAGTCCCAGTCTCTAGCCATCGGCGTTGTCGGGGCTTTCTTGTTTTCTGTATATAGAGTTCCCTGCGCATATGCGAAGCCTAGCTGAGGACCAATGCAAACTATTTTCCCCACAAGCCAACATGCCACCACTAAAAATTTACCTAAAAATAACAATACATAACATGTAAAAGTGCTCTGTCCTCAACAAAGCAGGAGTGTGAGATTTTGATAAAGACATCTGTGGTTGCCGTGATATTCTGACCAGTCCAGCAGAAATCGCATGATTCTTTAGACTATCTAACTTCATCCTCTGTCCACTTTGTAGCGATGTTGCTGGGATAACCTGAGACAATTTCAGAGAGGCTTGGGGCTCAGGAAGACATAAATACAAGGCCTTGTTTTGCACGATCTGGCTGCAAGGGTGTAGTGCGGAATAAAATTAAGACCCCCTCCTTTATTGTGAGGCACAGTTGGGCTGTTTGATCTCTAAGTCCTTGGGTAATTGGAGTCTACACAGCCTGTGGAATTGGGGCCCGAGCAGCTCACCGCATGCCCAAAGCCCACTGCCGACCTGCCTGGGGCACTATTTATCCTCCCCCTTGCCCCCACCAAACACACACACACCGGATTCAGCTTGTATTCAAGGTTCTGCCTTGCACTCAGCATTGTTTCCAAGCGGGGAAAATGACGATGTGGAAATTCTAATGGAAGACATACTGTTTGTTATCAGGTACACGAAAGTAAGCAGAAACGGTCCTGAGGTCTAAGCAGCACCCTGCATTTAGGGGATTCCCCTCATCACATTCCACAACCTTCCTTTCAAAAATGGTCGTTTTGTGATCCAATCTCGCCATCACAGGCTTATTTTTTCATGCGGAATTTCCCTGAAATCTACCTGTTCACCTTAGATCATTGTGCACTCATCCTCCTCTGAGCCCTTGAGGTACCAATGGTTGGTTTACACTCCATTCATTCAACAAATATTTACTGGGCACCTACCACATGCCAAGCACTCGACTAACTGGGAGCCCTGTGGTGAGTAGCACTGACATGCTTCTCAACAAGGAAGGTGATAAACTGACCCAGCTTGCCCAGAACGGAAGAGATTTTCGAGACGTGGTGCTTTCAGCTTTTAAACTCGTATAGTCCCAGACAAAGGGGGACAAGTTGGTCACCCTATAATGTGTCTAGCAAATACTGTCTTCTATGGCTTGTCGTCTTCTTAGAAAGAAGTTTGTGCCCCTGTTCACAAAGCAGAGTCCTTCACATGTGTTTTCAGATCTACTATCTAGAAGTTCTGCGTGTTTGAGCTAGGCAGAGCTATAGCGATTTAGCCCAGCCACGTGCTTCCTTGCCTTAATCCCCATGGGGTAGACCCAGGTTTGAGGAGCCTGAAGCTTATACAATCCTAGGGGTGGTGGGCACGGGGGTTGGGGGGAACAGTGCTCTCTTTAAGAAAAAGAATACAGGGCCGGACGCAGTGGCTACACCTGTAATCCCAGCACTTTTGAAGGACGAGGCGGGTGGATCACAAGGTCAAGATATGGAGACCATCCTGGCCAACTGGTGAAACCTCGTCTCTACTAAAAATTTAAAAATTAGCTGGGAATAGTGGCTTGCACCTGTAGTCCCAGCTACTTGGGAGGCTGAGGCAGGAGAATCGTTTGAACCTGGGAGGTAGAGGTTGCAGTGAGCCGAGATCGCACCACTGCACTCCAGCCTGATTACAGAGCGAGACTTCTTTTCAAAAAAAAGACAAAATTATTGATATGGAATACAGAGCCTTGAGGGAGGGAACTTGCAAGACAGGGCCCTAAAGCTTAAGCATCCTTAGCTTCTCAGATACTCCTCCTTTGTTTAAAATAATAATAATTAGCAGTTAACATTTATTAACTCATTGAATCCTCACAGGTGGGGTCATTACTTCCATTTTACAGATGAGAAACTCAAGGTCCCAGGGGGTGGGTAACTTGTCTTCCGTCATCCAGCAAAGTTGGGAATATTGACTGGATGGTGGAAGTAAAAACTCAGGCTGCTGGAGGAAGCATAACTTGCAAAACATAATCACCTGGCTAGCAATGCAACCAACTCTTTTGGTTTAAAAACCAAATCCTTCAGGAACCAGCCGATGTGTGTGGGCCGGGGGAGGTTTTAGATGGAAGGAAGCTTAGAAGAAGCATGTGTGTGTGTGTGTGTGTGTGTGTGTGTATGTGTGTGTGTGTGTGTGTGTCTCAGCACATGGAGTTACCCTGTCCATGTCATGCATTTCTCTAGAGAATGATGGGATCTGTGATCTGTACCTCTGTATACAGAACCATTGTCCCTGGGTCCCTGCCTGTCCCTGCTCCAGGAAAGTGTTGGATCCTCCCAAGTCCAAGGGTAAGCCTTGAGAGGCTGCCTTCTGGCCTTGTTTTTTAGCACAATGCTTTTTCTACCTCTTCACTTCCCTCCTTGGTGCTCAGCCTGTTCCAGCTACGCTGTCAACATGCCCTCCGCAGCTCTGGAGGGCACCCACCAAGCAGGGGCAGTGAACAGAAGATGAAGAGGTACAGTTTGACACCAAATTGCCTGGGTTGGAAACCTGGCTCCATGACGTAGGACCAGTCACTTAACTTTGGTGCCTCAGTTTCCCCATCTGTTGACTGGGGATGATGACAGTATCTATCTCACTGGGTTGTTGTGAGGAATGAATGAGGAAGTACAAATGCCGTGTTTCAAGCAGGGCCTGGTGCACAGTGATGCAATGTGTGCTAACTATTATTATCGTCATCAAATTACCATGATTTCTGGCAAGTGGGCACTTCAGAAATCTCAAGGAGAAGACAGGGCCGTCTGCTGTACAAGAATGCAGGCTGAGCGTCTGAATGGCCATTTGTATTGAGAATCAACTCTGAGTTATTTTGCAAGTCCCCATCTCCTCAATTGTCTTACATCGACGTGGGCTCATGGCTTGGTCTGCCTGTCCATGGGCCCCATGGTTAATCTAGAAATAGCACACGAAGTAGCACCTCTTAGGCTCACATAAATTGCTAATTAAAATGGTATTACCCATAATGGATTGCAAAGCAGGACTCTCATTTCCCCAGTGCGCATTTCCGCAGGCTGGACTTGGGCATCGACCCACCTGGGGTGACTGGGGCTCTCGGGAGAGGGAAGCTGGACGTAGGACAGTAAGTTAGGCAACTTCAGAATCTTCGCATTGTTCCTGACAAATAACAATATACTAAAGCCAGAAACGTGCTTGTACCCATCAGTCACAGGTGCTGATAATAGTTCACCTAATTACTTCATTATTTTTTGCCACTCCATAGAGCAGTTTGTATTTACAGTCCTGTATATGGTTCTACTACTGCCACTTATTGTGACGATTCCAGCAATTCCGGGGAGTCTCGGAGGGCCTGGACAAGTAGAATCTTGTTTTTCTTGATTTCCCCAGAGGGGTGGGAGGTGGGAGGAGGTAAAGAGAGGAGGGGTTTGGAGGAAAAGCATCCAGCCAGCATCGACCCACAATTGCTCATCTCAGATGAGTGATAAATGATGGGTGATTTTTGAAACGCTAGAATTTTCAAACAAAACAAACATATCCTATCCTATTAGTTATGAGGCCAGCCTGTAACACGGTGAAGAAGGGAGAAAGGCAGGGTTGGGCTGCCCTGGGCCCGCACCCGTTCTGGATGGAGAAGTGATCGGGTCCCTAGCTTGGCATCATTACGTTGGAAGCAGCGGAGAGGGAAACCAACCCCAGGGACTTGACCTAATGAACACGGGCCACAAATTAACAAAGTTGGCTGGGAAAAACATTGTGAGTTTTAGTCACTCGAGCATCAGTAAATCTGCTAGAAGTCAGGGCTGATTGCTTATAGCTTGTTAAGATGTTGATTGTTTACAAATTACATTTTCCCTTTAAAAGGCAGGCACCTCTCAGCGGCTCCCTGCCACTAGTCCCTTGCTGAGTGCTTCCCACCAGGGACAAAGGCTGCCTGCTGTTCACTGACCTAACATGCAGCTCTGCACTCTGCGGCCCCCTTGCTTCACACGGCTCCTTCTCTCCCTTCTCCTACATTTTGAAATCTTCCTTAAACCCAGTCCTCCTACGAGCAGGGTTGTCAGACAGGCACTGGACTGTGCACACACTTATATTTTCTCATGATTTGCAGCTACCTGGAGGAGTGAAGGCTGAGTGCAAAATTGCCTCGTGAGATCTGCTTTCCGGTTTAAATCACTTACGGTTTAAATTTATTCATTCATTCATTCGACCTGTAACTTGAATGAATGAATGAACCAGCACTTGTCTGATTGTCCCTGCCAGACAGCTGCTGGAGCTGCAGAGACAGATTTCAGAGAGTCAGAGGATCACAAGCGCAGGCTTGGCTTGCAGGCACATCACTCCAATCTCTGCCTTCATCGTCACATGGTGCTGTGGGCTGACTGTGTCCCAGTCCCCAGTTCATATGTTGAAGTCCTAAACCCTAATACCTCAGAATGTGACTGCATTTGGAGATAGGGCCTTTAAAGAGGTAATTAGCTTATAATGGGGTTGTTAGGGTGAACCCTAATCCCGTATGACTGGCATCCTTGTAGGAAGTGATTAGGACACAGACAACAGACAGAAAGTGACCATAGGAGGACACAGTGAGAAGCCAGCCATCTGCAAGCCAAGGAGAGAGGCCTCGGGAGAAACCAAACTTGCCAACACCTTGATTTTAGACTTCTAGCCCTCAGAACGGTGAGGAAATGTATCTCTGTTTCTCATGACACCCAGTCTGTGGTGTTTTGTTGCAGTCACTCTAGCAGACTAATACACACGGCGTTGTCCCTGTGCGTCTGTGTAACTCTTCTTATAAGACCCACCCTTGGTGGGGCATGGTGGCTCACACCTGTAATCCCAACACTTTGGGAGGCTGAGGTGGGCAGATCACTTGAGATCAGGAGTTCGAGACCAGCCTGGCTAACGTTGTGAAACGTCATCTCTACTAAAAATACAAAAATTAGCCAGATGTGGTGGCATGCACCTGTAATCCCAGCTACTTAGGAGGCTGAGGCAGGAGAATTTCTCCAACCTGGGAGGCGGAGGTGAGCCAAGATCTTGCTACTGTATTCCAGCCTGGGCAACAGAGCAAGACTCCATCT